CCAATTCCTTCCCAACCCATTGAGAAGGCAAGCAATATATCACCCCCATTTTCAAAGAAGTGAAATGACTTACCCAGGGTAACATAGCTAGTAAGTATATGAGCCAAGATTCCCACCCAAGTCTTCCATATTCCAAGTTCCGGATTCTATCCACTTGTGGAACAATCGTGTGCAATGTCCTTGGGAAGTGAGGGTGGTGGGCAGCATCTAAGGATCTCTTTGTGTCTCAGGATAAACTAAGTGCTCTTAGTTGCCATATTTCTTGCTTTGGGTATTTGACCAGTTAGAACTGGGTCCAGGTCATGTCATTCCAAGAATAGGACTCATATTTTCTAATCTCCATCCAGCCAATAAAAGACAGATGAAGGATTGAGGGCTGGGGGAGAAAGAAGGTATACTAAGTGTTTCTAAGTAAACTACCTCACCTTTCTGGGAAGCATCTCCCTGGCCCTATTTTGATCGAACACAAATTCTATGTTGCTTCCGGACATCTCTAATGGAACAAAGTTGAAAGTATGTACTGAGTATTGTCAAGGATAGCCTGTAATTAAACCTAAACCAATTATCACCAGAGAGCATTAGACACACTACTTACTATTTAAGTGGCCACTGTGAATATCCATAAACAGAACAATTGTCAAGTACAGCCAGATTGACAAGAAAAGAGCCAAAAGGTGTAACGAGGGCAAATTTCCCTCACAGAGGCCTCACCGTTAGCCTGAGGAAGCCTTGTGTAGGCTGAGGCTACCAGCTGTGTTTACAAGCTGGCCCAGCAGGAAGGCACAGTGCCAAAGGGTTGACACCAGTCTGAGTGGTGGCTGTTTGCTTGGCTTATGCCATAAAGAAATATCTACTTTCCCAGTCTTTTGTTCTTCTAGCAATAAGATATGACCGTAACAGAGAGTTGGAGAGAATTAGAGCTGGAGAGCCTCTAATGAAGACCTGGAACTGTGTAAGCAGCTTCAAGTGGCCTCATCTCAATTTCATCTGCATTTTTGTGGTCAGAAATTTTTTCTTGTTATAACAAAAAAGATCAAGATATTTCTTCTTTATTTGGGACACAAATTTTCTTTCCAAGGTTCAGCTGTATTTGGATTTTTTTTTAATTTTAGATTTAAATAAATGTACTCATCACCATTCAGCCTCTGGAAGCTTGTACCAGATGGGGTCTCAGCAGCCAGACTAATCTAGTCTCCTAGGCAGAAAAGAGTAACCTGTCTAAGAAGAACCATAAAACCCCACTGTTGCATGTCAGCCTCCTCCCAAGAATCCCCATAGTTGGATCTAGTTGATCAAGGAAAAATGGGAGGCATGAATCCCTTCCATTTAAAAACAAAGCAAAAAAACTATGTTTCTCTTCAAAAATCACTGTACCATAAGTTAGAAGACCTAGGCTCTACTCTTGACTAACTAGCTATGTAATCTTGTTAACTCTTCTTTGAAAGAAGAGGTTGGACATCTTGGGGAGGGAGGGAGGAAAATTTAGAACTCAAAATCTTATAAAAGTGAATGTAGAAAACTAAAAATAAATTAATTAATTAAAAAAAGAAAGAAAAAGAAGAGGCTGGAGGGGATGAAATTCCCAGATCTAAAATTCTGTGAGGGATGCAATGGGAAATATATTTGTGACACAAAAAGAAAAGATATCAATAAAGTTCATTTCAATAATACCATTGAGAGCAGTACAACGCTTTCTGGGGCCCCTTCCAGCTCTAATGCTTTTTGCTTCCATTATACAAATTTAAAGCCCATTAAAGTATCTTGGGAGATAGATAAGTGGTCAAAAGATATGAGGAAAAAAACATTCTCAAAAGAAGAATTTCAGATTGTTAACAACCATATGAAAAAATAGGCAGCTTAGTGGCCCAGTGTATAGAATGCCAGGCTTGGAGTCAGGAAGACCTGAGTTCAAATCTGGCCTCACACACCTTACCAGCTGTGTGATGCAGGGCAAGATATTTAACCCTATTTGCCTCAGTTTCCTCATCTGTAAAATGAGTGGGAGAAAGAAATGGCAAACCACTCCAGTATCTTTGCCAAGAAAACCCCAACTTAGGTTAGAAAGAAGTGATTAGAGTCTGAATTTAGGATAATGGGTGTGTGAATTTAAAGAAGTGGATGAATGTACTAAAAATGATATTACAAAGTCAAGTAGGAGGATACTTTCTGTTTATATATTTACCTTTCGTTAGGCAGCTAAGCGGTACAGTGGATAGAGTGCCGGACCTGGATTCATGAAGGCATGACTTCAAATTCTGCCTCATATATTAAAGTGTCTTGTAAATGTCTGAGGCCAGATTTGAATTCAGGCCTTCTTGACTCCAGACTCCGTGCTCTACCCACTGATCCACCTAGCTGCCTCAGGAGGGACTTGACAGGTCATCTAATCCAACCTCCTCATTTTTCAGATGACGAGAGAGAGGCCCAGTGAGTTGTAGTCCCACCCAAAGACACACAGGTAATCAATAATAGAGATACCATTTGAACCATGGCTTCTGAATCTACATTCAGCACTTTTTCCAATGGACAACCTTCCTGCCTTCCATATTATTACATATGCAACCAGGGGCTGGCATCTGCACAGCTCTGGCTTGGCAGATGTAAGCTCTCCACATGCAGAAGCTGAGGAGCTTGCTCCCAGATTGCAATGACGGATAAGGGAAATGTCTTAGAGAGACATGTTGAACATGTGTGGACCTTCTGTAACAGCCAACCACATGTGGAAGCCAGGGAGAGTTCTCTCTGTTGAAAGCAGGACAGTCCTGGAATGGCTTTACTCTGAGAGAGGGTAGCTTGCCTCAGATACTGTTGTGGCTAGGCCATGACAAGTGGGAGGGCCTCTGTGGTGCCCCTGGAAGCTTTGAGTACAGGCCTGGATGGAGGCACTAAGGATGCTGATCTCAGTGCTAGCAGCAAATATTCAAATGAGAACTTTGAAGTTCTCCAAAGTGGAGCAGGATTCCATGTGAACAGCAATTGAACTTGACTCAGAAGCTAGGTGGCACAGTGGATAGAATAGCTGGCCTGGAGTCAAGAAGACTCATCTTCCTGAGTTCAAATCCAGCTTCAGACGCTTCCTAGCTGTGTGACCCTTGGCAAGTCACTTCACCCTGTTTGCCTCAGTTTCTTTATCTGTAAAATAAGCTGGAGAAGGAAATGGCAAACCACTCCAGTGTCTTTGGCAAGAAAACACCAAATGGGGTCACAAAGAGTTGGACACGACTGAAATGCATGAACAACAATTGGTCCTAAAAGGTAAGTAAGGACGATTCCAAAAGGATTGGTGATGACTTCCATTGCCCTTGGCTGATCAAAAAGAGTTAGGTTAGAATCCCTAAATCTGGAATGCCAGGTACCGACTCCATGAGGTGTGATAATACAACCAATCTTAGGCCTCCACATGTGGCATTTTGGCTCTGACTTACTCTCCCAGAGCCAGGCAGTATACACCTCCCTGGCACAGTTCTAGGATATTATGAAGAGTTGGAGGGTCTCTTTTCTCTACTGTTAGTTTACCCCGCAGTGGCTATATTCCCATGGGGAGGGGAGGTTGTCCATTAGTAGGGGGTCAGTGACTAGGTTCCAGTTCTATTTAACCACTTAGCATCAATTAGCTTTTTAAAATATTTATTTCAAAAATATAACAAGAAAAAATGCAAACAATCCCACCCACACTTCCAGGGCATCCTCTCCCTTATACTCCCTCAATCTCTGGGGGAAATAGGTATATAACTTAGCTCAGTTCCTGCATAGCATTGTTTTCACCAAGCTCACGTTCTGAAGCATGTCTGTCAGAAGAGTTCTCATCTTGACTCTGCTGCCCTGGGGTACTGAAGGTCACTCCTTGCTGCTCCTGGCATCAAGGCCACATTGGCTCTGGCATAACAAGATGCTGATACCCTGTAGACCTTCAAACTCACAAGGTCACAGAGACTTTGCTCCCTTCACCTGGAATGGAAAAGAATAAATGCAGAGGCCAATAACCAAGGCCCTTTTGTCAGGCCATATGGCCCTCAGAAGGGGAGAAGGACCCATGGCCTTTCCCTTAACAACATGGTCTCTCATTGGGTACCACGAGCTAAAGAGTCACTGAGATTTTTCCAGGAGTACAAGAGACAAAATGGTTGATGGTGGCCTTTTTTAATGCCTCCATAGACAAGCAAAAGACGCTTCTTCAACAAGTGGTGAGCCGACCAGAACCAGTACCGAATGTCTACACAAGATCCACAGTGTCCCCAAGAAGGTGATTCCCTTAAACAGAAGCTCCTGTCCCGGAAGCAGGCTTCCTAACTTCTCCACAAGCTGATGGGGTCTGCGCATGTGCCAAGCCCTAGTTACTCCTACTTCCTAGTACTGTTACCTGAGCTATCTTCACTGCATTTGGACAGCTCCTAAGTCCTTTTGATGCAGCAATGGATTCTTTGTCTTTTATTTAGGCTTTTTAGAACTGGTAGGATAATATTCAATGGCTCATCAGGTGAAAGAGAAAGTAAATTGTTTAAATTCGTTTTTTTTTTTTCTCAGCCTCCTATGGCCCATTAACTGCAGAGTTGGGAGGCGGGAAGGATCCAGGATAAGTGGTGTGTTATAATTTGGGCTTCCTCATAAAAGCAGAATCTGGAGGCTGTACTCCCTGATTCTCCCCAGCAGTTTTTCATTGGCCCCCAAGGCATAAGAAGAGAATGGGGAATTCTGTTCATTTCTCCTGGGATGGCTGTCTGGCCCAAGCTTGCCATCATCATGCTGCTGTTGGGCAAGAAGTGGGGGATGAGCTGCCTTTTAGACCCTAGGAACAGCTCCCCTCCAGGAGTCACAAAGATCCATGGATTTTTTTAAGTCATCATCTGATTACATTTCATTACACTGAGAAAAAGTTGTTTTCATTTATATGCTTGCCCACAGAGGCTCTACAATTGGTGCATTCACCAAAGTCAATTAGAGTCAGTAAATTACACAGAGATATAAAAGTAATGAAATTTTCTGACATAATTGTTTTCTAGGAAGCTCAAGGTGTCTAGAGAGCTACAAAATCAAATCAGCTGACTTGCCCTATATCTATTCTCATCCACATATGAAAGCAGGGTTTCTTTTTCTTCTCTACATTCCTGCTCCCCAAAATATCATCATCATCATCATCATCATCATCATCATCATCACTGCTACTACTATGGGAGTAAGGCATGGTGAGTAGAGGGCTGGTTTTGGAGTCAGAAAGACTGAGCTCCAAGCCCTTCTTCCGACATCTAGGGCCTTTGAAATGTTGGGCAAGTCCCTTAACCTCATAGTGTTCCAGGAAACTTTCTAAGGCTCTAAGTTACAGATGAGTCACCCTTTCACATTGGTGGAGGGATCTTCCACACTAGAACTACTCCCACAAAATTGTAATCACAGGTTTGCAAACCCACCTTCCTCTCCCAAAACACACAATTTCATTTCAGAGGCTCTCAGAACCAGAAGGAGGCATCCTGTTCCATTATCTGCTTGCCTCTAGGCAGGAACATTTTAAAACTTCCAAATAATTGGTGCAGAATGTTAGCATCAGTATACTCACACGCTAGGAGAGTTTGCCTGAAAAGGAGCTCAAGGCCTTACCTCTCTTGACTTGTTATACCCCTTTCCTCACTTATAAAATGGGGATAATAATAGCACTTTTCTCGTAGTGTTCCTGTAAGGATCAGTCAAGTTACTATATAAAGTGTGCCATAAATGTTGGCTATCATCATTAGCATCATCATCACCATCATTATTACAGGAGGCCCCTACCTTTCCTGAAACACACTAGGCTTTGTGTTGTTTGCTTTTCATTATGTTGTCCCATGAGGTCTTTGTTCCCCTAATAAAAATGTCTATTAAGAGGTAAAGGAGATAAACAAATAGCAATCTTGTTACTACCTAGAGATAGATCTATATCTATCTCCAGGTAACTATAACAGAGATATATAGATATAGATATATACACATACATATAAATATAAATCCAGGTAGTAACAAATATATATGTGTGTATATATATATATATACACATCTATTTTATATGTGTGTGTATGTTATGTGTGTGTGTATGTGTGTGTAACCAGGCAGTAACAAAATATATGTGTGTGTAGTTATATATGTATGTGTGATTATAGATATAGATATAGATACAGATATAGATATATTCAGGTAGTAACTGTATATGTGTGTATATGGTTTTATACATATATATGTGTGTGTGTGTGTGTGTGTTTGTAGTTAACAGTAACTACATATCTATAGTAGTAGTAATAACATATCTATATGTGGTTTTTTATTTATATAGTTTTATATATACATATATACACATATATTTTTTTAAACCAGGTAGTAACTATTTGTATTTTATATGTATGTGTGTATATATATATATATATATATATATATATATAAAAACACACATACATAATAAAAGATATTTTTAATATGTTTGTATAGATAAAGATATATAAAATAACCGGGTCATAACAAAATGTATGTTGTACATATATAATGTCAATGTGTATGTATATACATGAATCTATATGTGCATGTTTTTTTAAATGTTCACAAAATTCAGTTTCTTATACTCTCTCTTGTTCTTTATATATTAAAATGTGTTTGTTGATGATTAGTTCACAGCTATGAAGATTATTTTTTAAGGAGCAAAAAATATAATATACTCTAATACTGACAGCATAAGGCTACTACTTTTTGGGTTACATTTCCTGATTCACTTCCCTATTTAAAAACCTTCAATGACTTCCCATTGCTTCTCAGATAAAGTCCCAATTTCTTACCCTCTAATTCATGACTCTGATTCTGGCTCCAATCTATGTTTCCTACCTTATCTCACAAGCACTCCATTTCACCTACTTTGTACTCCAGCCAATCTGTTCCACAACACTGCTTCTTCAGTGTAGCCTTCACTTATGCTGCTGTTGGTTATGCTTAAATTGCTGCTCACTGCTGCCTTCCACCTGCTGAAACCCTGCTGATTCTTCAAGACCCAGATCAAATGCCAGCTTCCTCTCAAAGCCCTTCTGAGTTCCACCAGCTAGGAACAATCTCTGCTTCCTTGGAATCATCCTAGTCCTCTGAATCTCTCTCATTCTACCTGGCATTATGCTTATTTGTATACATGTTTTTCATCCTTAGTAGGTTGTAGATCCTTGAATGTAGAGTCCATCTCTTATTTATCTTTATTTCCCTCATCCCCTATTCTATTGCCTTGCACATAGTAGGTGCTTCATAAATCATTGTTGAGTTGAATTGACACAGTCCTGACTATGTCATGATCCCAGTCAAAAAGCTTTAGTGCCTCTAGGATAGAATATAAATTTCTTCACTTGGCATTTAAGCCCTTCAAGCAATGACTCCAATCGATGTTTCCAGATTTATTGCATACTACTCACCATCCCAACCCAATTGGACTACTAACTATTCCTCAATTTCCTATTGCCCTTTCCTCCCTGCATGTATTTGCACAAAACTCTTCCTCCCACTTCCCATTCCTTGAATGCCCTTCCTCCGCATCTCTACCTGTTCATCACTTTCTCTTCCTTCCAAACCCAACTCGGTTGCCATGACCTCTGTGAAGGCTTTCTGATCCCTCAGCTAGTAGTACCTGGACTGGACTTTGGCCTGAATCATATTCTACAAATTTGTATCTGACTTCTTTGAGCATGTATCTTATCAATCTCAATTAGATTGTAAATGTATTGAGGACAAGAACTATGTTGTTTTTCATCTTTCTATGCCTAGCACACTGACTTGAACATAGCATATGCTTAGGACATGATTGTCAAATTGAAATGAATTGAACCAACTGTAAGACCATTATGTAGAAATTGCATCTAATTCTCTATAGTATACCATGCTTAGAAGTCATTATAACAGCACATGGGACCATTTAAATGCCCATACCATATAGTAAGTTCATCGAGGCAGAGACCATGTCTTGATCTTCTCTTTTCCTCATGGTACCCAGTCCAGTAGTGATCATATAATCAACACCCAATAAATCCTTGTTTATTTAACTACTTATAACCCTCTGCTGTTCTCCATATAGAGCAAATCAGATACAGTCACGTCTTCTTCTTACAATCTGTAGTTTCCTTAATCAAATGAGATATCTATTAAGTGTTTAGCATAGGGCCTGGCACATAGTAGGTACTAATAAATACTTTTTCCCCTTATTTTAAGACTCAGTTCATGCCACCTCACAGGATAAGCTCTTGCATCATGATGTCCCTAAATATTCATTCTCCTTCTCTCTCTCTCTCTCTCTCTCTCTCTCTCTCTCTCTCTCTCTCTCTCTCTCTCTCTCTCTCCCCTTCTCTCTCTCTTTCTATTTCTCTGTCTCTGTCTTTCCATCTTTCTCTCTCTATTTCTGTCTCTCTCTCTCTCTCTCTCTCTCTCTCTCTCTCTCTCTCTCTCCCCCTCTCTCTCTCTTTCTATCTCTCTGTCTGTCTTTCCATCTTTCTCTCTCTCTCTCTCTCTCTCTCTCTCTCTCTCTTCTCTCTCTCTCTCTCCATATTTGTCTTTCTGCCTCTCTCTATCTCTGTCTGTCTCCTTCCCTCCCTTCCTCTTTCCCTTCAGGTTGCCTTATCATTACTTGACAGTGTACCTATCCTCACCCTCCTCCATCCCCCTGTAGAAGGTAAGCGCCTTGAGGTGGGAAGCTTTCATTTTTGTCTTTATATCCCCAGTGAATTGTACAGCATAGGCAGTTAATAAATGCTTGTAGTATTGGATGGGATCATATTGGAATAGTTCTCACCTTCACCATGCTGCCCAGTTCCTGATCCATTGCCAATTTCTAGTACATGCTGTTATTTTTAATATATCATCCATGACTACTGTGTACCCAAACAAAACCATATGCTATTATTTTTGGAGGCTATCACCAGTATAAAATGAATTCAGAAAACTTGGCTTTCAGCCTGCTGAAACTTGAGTAATCAAGCAAGCGTATACAGTTGGTCCAGTTGGGAAATTTTTCTAAAGATGTGCGGCTCCCTTGGTTTTAGTTCCAAATTCTTCAGGCATTTTTCTGGGCTACCTTGTACTTACAGGCTCTAATAGTCTGGGAGCTCCTGAGTGTATTCCGATACTTGGAAATTCATCTCACTCTGAAATGTTCACACCTCAGCAAGTCAGATTCATTATCATGGAAATGGCTGTAGTGTTTGACAAACGTGCCCATACGTTTTCAACAGTCACATTTTCCATTTTCACCTAACCTGTCATGAGGCAAGTTATGTATGTACAAACAAGCAGTTTAGTACGCAAATGACTGTTCAGGAAAGGATTCACCTGTGCATAAAGTAAAGGCATTAACATCTAGAAATCTGATCCTAATTTAAAACAAACCAATTGTCTAAATATTTCCCCCCTGCTTAGAGTGTCTTCCAGTGGTCCATACCCATCTTTTACTTCTAGCTCTCTTTTCATACTCATCTCTTCTGAGAAAGTTTCCCTGAGCAACTACAATCTGAGATTATACCAATACATTGGTATCACAATATGGTTTATATCCATTATATTGCAGCAATTTATGGAAAACCACTGATTCCATAGAACTAAAAGTAACTATCACACAGGCAATGAGGATATTAGGAAGCTGTAACATGTAACTAATGAGGGCCTTGGAAGGAGAACAGGAGTAAAGATTGTCATGATGGGAAGAGAAAATGGGCTGACTGTGTTGCAAGAGCAAGGGATGGTGGGTAAACAATCAGATGATACTCAAATGATACTCTGGCTACCTTGGAGCAAAGTAAAGGTCTCCAGGATGTTGGGTAGACTCTGTAGTGACCTTTAGAAAGAACATGGATAAAAGTAGCACAGAATTGGCAGGCGTGAATGGCTTATGGTCTTCATATTGGAGGGAATTCCTGAATCAATGAAATCACAGATTCATTTGAACTATATATGTGTGTGCACACATACGTATATAATATATATGTGAGTGTGTGTGTGTATCTCTGTGCATATGTGTCTATGTGTCAGTGTATGCATACGCATACAAACACATATACATATGCACATGTGTATGTGAATACACATGTATGTGAATACACATGCATACACATACGAGTATGAAAATTATTTGTGTTCTCTAGTTTTATGTACGTACCATGTTTACACATTCTCTCTCCAACTAGATGAAAACTACTTGAGGGTGGGG